AAGTGGCGACGTCTGTAAAAATTGCAGCAGTGTTACTAACCCATTGCCTCATGGTGGAAGGCAGCAGGCTGGGTTTCATGTTAATTGGGTTCCATTGACCTTAATACAACAGCTCTACCCATAAGTCAATGTTCCAGCAACACTTTCTAATTTTACTTTCAACACAAATGAGTTTATTTACGAATACATTTTTGATTATGGGGTGTATCTGTTCGCCAATAACTACGAAGAGTGTAAGTATTCGTATGACAATTTAAAGACTGTTCATCGGGAAACATTAAAACATTTGTCATCAGGCCCCATGGTGTAAAGTGCAGTCGCAAATTCGTATTATCAGAATCAGAATCTGTATTTATACTGGAGGAATCCGATGAGCTATAAAGCTTTTTTCACAGATGTCCAGTAGGGGCGGGTCAGAACGTTACAACAAACAATACAAAGTATAGGAAAGGTAAACAAATCACTTGAATAATATACAAATAAATCTCAACTATATTTTTTATCTTACCGGATAAAGCCCACTGAGCTATTAGCTTCTTTTTCAGAAGCGACCTGGCCACAAATAATAACTCAACGAAGTGGCTTATCGTGTGGAAATTAAGACCGAAACGAGAGGATTTCTCCACAAATCTGGCTGTCGCCTGATGAAGCTAGTTGTAACTACTGCCAAAACGTCGTACTCAAATTGTAAATGTTGTGGGTTTACTCTCCCAACACACTGGTGTGCTGTACTAGTAACGAATTGGTGTGTTTCGTTTACGTGATAAACCTTACTAATTGGCTGTTGGGTGATGGTGAATTTAACGATACATTTTTATTTACACGATCAAACCCAAGAACCTCGATTATGGATGTGGAAATTTAAAGTAGCCAATTACTATAAATAATCGAAACGCACGCTTCTATGCATTCCGCCCATTTTTAGTTACGTGTTGTGCAGAAGCACAAATAACAATCAATTGCAGGAGGGTTTTAGCCCGAAACATTGCCCATTATATAATGAACACATTCCACAATAACACCATGTCATGCGGTGTTTTTGTGGAATGTGTTTAATTATTCATTAACTGTGCTTGTGCACTACTGCCAACGCAGACTACAGCAACAAATAATTAATTGCAATGGACAAAGGGGGCCTTCCCCCCGAAACGTCGCCTATAGGATATACTTCTCCTATTAAGCGCCACAGAGTCATTGACGAGCGCGTTGAGTCTCAACATTAACAACAACAATAATCGTGCAATTTGTAACTCAAGAGGCGCGGAGCCAAGCTCAGAGTCACTCGAAAGTCAGGTCGTGGAGGCGAGTTGTTAAAGTGTCCCTTGAAGGTCGACACGATGGAGGCGATGCTGCGAATGTGCAGAGGGGATGGCGTTCCAGACTTTGCGGGGGGGGGGGGCAGCCACCGAGATGCCGTGACCGTCCTGGAACCTTGGTGTGCAGTCGCACTGCGAAGCCATCTCAACATTGCTGGCACGATGTGGGTTTCTTTTTGCTCTATCGCCCCCCTGTGGTGACTTTCGTTATACCCCCGAGCTCGCTTCAACGCCAGCGTGGAAGGCCGGGTTAGGGGCCATCCATTTAGTACGTGCGCATGGAGGGGAGTTAACCCAAATGCGTACGCTTGCGTATGGGGGGGGTCTACTGACAATGGAAACGGGGGGGGGGGGAGGTGTGAAGCCTCGATAATAATTTGTCTACATTGGCCTTCAAATGAAGTTAGATAGTCCGGCGGTGGACTATCTGTTTACTTAAACACGTTAATGTTATTAATCCTTGATCGTTTCTGCGTGGATTAAATATCGGCCGTTCTATAGGATTCGGTGGGGGGGGGGGGGGGGGGGGGGTAAAAAGTCCGCGTGCGTACAGGGAGGGGGGCAGGGGTCAAGTTTTGATTTTTGCGGACCTACTCAATGGATGGCCCCTTAAATCGATTCGTTAATTGGATGGATAATTAGCGCTGTGATTGGCAACCGGGAATCCCGTGAGAAATGTGATGTTTCCTCCGCATTGCAAGGAAGCGGCCCCAAGTTTAGTTTGCTTTGTCGGCAAGAGAGTTTGACACAATGTTGTCATGCAAGGCCGTAGCCATGGAGTGAACATTGGGGGGGGGACCAAATCTTCCAGGGTGACTGGGGGTCCCAACCCAGAAAAATATCTACATTTTAAAACTCATTTCCTACCTAAAATATTAAAATACACTAACACATGGGATTAACTTTTTATTTGTTTTTTTTTACAATGTCTAAGAGTGCATTGTATTACATTGCTCTGGTTTTTTTTACCATTTCTTGTTTCATTGTATGTAATGGTAGAGATTAAGGATTAATAAAGTACAACCATGACCACAATCATATAAACAGAAATCTATGCATTGATTTATATGAAGACAAGTCCAGATATTGTGGCCAAGGTTTAGCAAATTGTGTTTTTTATTTACATAGCATAGCAATTTATATATAGCAATATATTGGGGGGGGGGATTGTGTCCCCCCCCAATATATATTATAATTACAGCCTTGTTGTCATGTGCATGTTGGCAAAGACAAAGATCTTCACCTAAACAGTGTTAAAGCCTTGACATAAGTTTCGGGAGCAAGCGCTGTTAGCGAGCACCTATAAAGGGGGGTAAGGGGACGCGAGGGGGAGTGGGTGGCCACCACCACGCCCGACCGCCTTTGTCTCCCTCGTGGAGATATTTCAACACACCGCACCAAGTTATGTTACTCATTTGAGGCCGAGGCGACCTTCACAGTGTTTAACTCTGCATGTAGACAAAGGTCCCCCGTGTAGCCTGACCAGACTGTTGGGGCAAGTGCTGTTAGCGAGTAGCACCTACGCAGGCCGGCACGGCACACGTGGGGGTGGGTGGCCAGCACAACGCCGGACCGCCTTTGTCTTCCCCAGTGGCGATGTTTACTACACACTGCACCGGGTACTCATTTGAGGCTGAGTCGACCTAGAGGAGGCCCAGGACCGGTTCAGATAATCGTCACCGCTCCCCAATCTGCACACACGGTAATCTCGCTTCGATGCAGGTAAAGGTTAATTGATATCAAGGCCGTAATAATAATATATATTGGGGGGACACACATCCCCCCCAATATTCAAATGTGCTCAAAATGTCCCCCCCCCCCAATATATTTCTATAAAATAGATTTCTGTTTATATGAATGTGGTCATGGTTGTACTTTATTAATCCCTAATCTCTGCCATTACATACAATGAAACAAGAAAAGGTAAAAAAGTAAAAAACAGAGCAATGTAATACAATGCACTCTTAGACATTATTGTAAAAAAATAAAAAGTCCATCCCATGTTAGTGAATTTTTATATATTTTAGGCAGGAAATGGCAGGAAATTAGTTTTCAAAATTAGATTTTTTCTGGGGGGGGGGGGACCCCCAGACCCCCTGGAAGATTTGGTCCCCCCCAATGTTGACTCCATGGCTACGGCCTTGATTGATATAAATTAAATCTTGACCTAAAGCTTTCGTGACTGCAGGAATTCATATTCTTTGGGTCTTTCGGTAAATATTTTTCAGCCTGATCGAAACGTAGTTAATTTTTTATTTGAACCTATCCACGTGACTTTACCGAAAGACCCAAAGAATATGATATAAATTACAACTCTTGATAGTGCTGCGTGTGGCTGTCCGCTCGGCGTAAACTAATTTAGGACGCATCCCCAACTTCTGCTTTAAATTAAAGGAACACAATTGCGTCTTATTATGATACGTAGCATACGGGAGTCAAAAACACTCGCAGCTTGGTCAAGTTAAACTTTTAGAAACGTAAACAAATTACTCGTTGTAGGGCCATCGCCCGAAACGTCGCCTATTTTACGTATATCGTGTTTTTTTAAGGCCACAGCGGTCACTGACAAATGTGCCGAGTTGTGTTTGTTAATTGGGAGGGGGGGGTCGTTGCACCACGGCATTAGCATCAACCACCACACTATTTGGTTATTTCGGTAAAGTCACGTAGGTATAAAATAAAGCTTTTCGTGACTGCAGGAATCCATAATCTTTTTTTACCATAAAATTTCTACCTACGTGACTTTACCGAAAGAACCAAAGAGCATGGATTCCTGCAGTCACGAAAGCTTCAAATAAATAATCAACCACGTCAACAATCCCTTCAACGTATCACTCGCCGTCAACAACATTGTTGTTGTTGTCAGCCGTCTCTTGTGAACCGTCGCTCGACTGATAAACAGCGATTTCACCCCGCTCCAACGTAGAGCCCGAACACACTGGTTGGGGCTGTGATGTTGGCGAGCATCATGAGCCAGCCAGCACCTCTTAAGGCCGGCACGGAGTGAGTGGCCCGCAGGAAAACCACGTCAAGGCCGGAGACTTTGCCAGGGTAGCCATTTGAGGCCGAGTCGACCTAGAGGAGGGCCCCAGCAGCGGCTCAAGATAATCGCCACGCGAATTAAAGCCGGAGCCAGCCTCGGAAGGTTGGAGGGGGAACTTAACACGCTAACGTTGCAAATTCTACACAAATTATATTTCACGCGCAACGTGCAACGTGAAATGCAACAAACACAAAGGGCCTTGGCGAGGAGGGTGGTGGTGGTAGTGGTTGCGCAAATGCATTTAAATAATTTTAACCGACGAAAAAATGCAACAACAATAACAACAACAAAGGGCTAAAACGTTGCGATGCAAGACGACTAAAATCTCTGGGGGTGAGGGAGGGAGGGAAGAGGTCACAAACATCCTCAGGAAAATGAGAAACCATCCCAGTACGGAGTGGTGGTGGTGGTGGGGGGGCCCAACGCGACAGCCATGAATCGTTACTCTGCCGTGCCCGTGACCCCGTCACATCGACGTGCGTGGCACGTACGGAATAAGCTGTAGGAGAGAGAGGAGGAGGAGGAAGGAGGTGGGGGGTGGTGGTGTTATAAGAACTACCAAGTAAATATATATTGTTTAGTGTTGTGTTGTGTGTTAGGGGAGTAAAGGTATCCCATAATGCACTCGCCCTCCCAGTCACCATCGCTTCCGGGTTAACAGTCACGGCGGCGGAAGTGAGACATTCGCTACGACAAGGGGGGGGGGGGGGGTTACGCGAAATCTGCCTTCGGTGCTACATCCTGTCTCCTGCCTCGCACTCCCTTGCCTCGTCGTCCACCTCGTCGTCCCAAGGTGAGGAGACGCGTTTGTTACCAACCACATCACCACGCAGAAGGTTGCCGCCACCACCACCACCACCTCCTCCTGCCTCCCCACCACCACCCCAATCAACCTCCTCCCCGTACTATCTCCATCCTCGCACAATAGCGATGATAAATATTTATCCAGTGAATTCTGTACGTGTAGGCGAGCGTGTGTGTGTGTGTTTTTTTTTGTAACACAACGTTTAAATAATAGGTTGGGTTTTGTGTGTGTCGGAGGGAGGAGGAGGAGGGGTGTTGATGATTTTGTTTAAAGGGAATTGGTGGTGGTTGAGGAGGAGGAGGCTCCCGTTTGATCGCTCGTTGTTATGGTGGGGGATGGAGGGGGGCCGACGTTGTAGGCGGTGGTGATGTGAACGCGGTGATGATGATGATTATGATGTTCGGTTCGTTTAAATGCCGCTCGAGATTTTTTTTTGGGGGGGGGGGGAGGTGGTGGTGGTGGTTCGTGTGATGGACAAGAGGGCGGCTTTAGACGCGGCCCTGTTTCCCGAGCTCTCGTTTTTATCGCTCTCCTCCTCGCTCTCACTCTCGGTTGGTGATGGTGGTGGTTGTTGTGGTGGTGGTGGTGACGGTGTTGCTATTGAACCGAGGGTTTGTGCCGCCGATGTTGGCTCGGGCCTGGTCTGACGGCCAGAGTCGAGGGCTGTGTCACCATCATCACCACATTCATCAGCAACATCATCATCAATATCTACACTAACCGCGCTAAGTATTGTAATCATCTTCATCATCTATCGTCTGACCGATCGTCCTTTTATACTAAACCTCATCACCATCATCTCCGTCTCTTAGACGGCGCTACTTCAGTCTCTACATCATCATCATTGATGTTTTGCTTTATAATAATAAACATCAATATCTTCGTCATGATGATCATCATGCCCACCCTCAACTTACAAACGATACTATATCATCGCTATCATCATCATACATTTCAACCATCCTCATCGGCGATTCCTCGTCACCGTAACATTGCGATAATCTTCATCATCACCATCACCACCACCACCTTGTCACCTTACTGTCACCATTACCCTCATCATCATCACCACCACCACCATAACCATCATCACACCTCTTCACGTTGGGGTTGACGATGTTCGTCTGGCTTTCACGAGCCTCCTCGGCAAGGCCCCGCATGAGCAGCATCGTGCTGTTCACATCTGCGTGTTACATTTTTTTAAACACAATAAATAAACACTTACAATGTAATAACGCGGCGCATTCGTCTGTACATATCCGACGCGCTCGCAATTAAGAGCCACCATTCGCAAATCACAATCACCAGCAGCCTCGGGTTCGACTAAAACGGAGTACTAGTTTGTTGGTGCCAATTGACGCTTCTCCCCCTGATCCTCTCCAGCCTCACGAACGAATACGTTCCATCTCGTTGGGTTATTCTACGTGACACTATAGGGTTTAAATAAAATAAAAACCCAGCAGTGGAGCTGTGTTTATGAATGTACTGATCCCCGTCATGGGAATGCGGAATGACCGCCGATGTGGTTTTGTTCACTGTGATCGGTAGGCGAACAGGTTTGAGCTCATCTGTCGTGTAAGTGGGAAAACACTTGACATTTTATATAAATGTGGACTCTGACGTTTGATTTAATTAAAATTGTTTTGCTTCCATCCCTTCTAATGACGATCCGATTAAATAATCTGTTATTTTGTTAATGCGATCTTATTTGTACCGACTTAACTGTTCTTATGTGTGCTTATCTTGTGTGTACCGAGTTATCTCATCCGTACTGTCTATCCCATGTGTACTGTCTTATAGCAATGTCTACTGCCTTGCCTTTGCTGTGTTGTCTGTGCTATCAGTACTGTCTTAATATCGTAAACTCTATTGGTTGTACAGTCTTCACAGTGTAAACTCTATTGGTTGTACAGTCTTCACAGTGTAAACTATTGACTGTACAGTCTTCATAGTGTAAACTATTGACTGTACAGTCTTCACAGTGTAAACTCTATTGGTTGTACAGTCTTCACAGTGTAAACTCTATCGGCTGTACAGTCTTCATAGTGTAAACTATTGACTGTACAGTCTTCATAGTGTAAACTCTATCGGCTGTACAGTCTTAATAGTGTAAACTCTATTGACTGTACAGTCTTCATAGTGTAAACTCTATTGGTTGTACAGTCTTCACAGTGTAAACTCTATTGACTGTACAGTATTCACAGTGTAAACTATATTGACTGTACAGTCTTCATAGTGGAAACTATATTGGCTGTACAGTCTTCACAGTGTAAACTATATTGGTTGTACAGTGTTCACAGTGTAAACTATATTGGTTGTACAGTCTTCATAGTGTAAACTATATTGGCTGTACAGTCTTCACAGTGTAAACTATATTGACTGTACAGTCTTCACAGTGTAAACTATATTGACTGTACAGTCTTCATAGTGTAAACTATTGACTGTACAGTCTTCACAGTGTAAACTATCGGCAGTACAGTCTTCACAGTGTAAACTATTGACTGTACAGTCTTCACAGTGTAAAATCTATTGGTTGTACAGTCTTCATAGTGTAAACTCTATTGGTTGTACTGTCTTCAGTGTAAACTCTATTGACTGTACTGTCTTCATGGTGTAAACTCTATTGGCTGTACAGTATTCACAGTGTAAACTATATTGGCAGTATAGTCTTCATAGTTTCGATTTAAAGCTTTCGTGACTGCAAGGATTAATCTTCTTTGGTTCTTTCGGTAAAGTCACGTAGAATGAGAATAAAATAATAAAACAATAAAATTCTCACGACGTTTCGGCCACAACACAAGTGGCCTTCTTCAGGTGAAAGGAACAAACCTTGTAGCTCTGTCGTCCCGACAGGTTTGTTCCTTTCACCTGAAGAAGGCCACTTGTGTTGTGGCCGAAACGTCGTGAGAATTTAATCGTTTTATTTTATTATTTTATTCTCATTCTACGTGACTTTACCGAAAGAACCAAAGAAGTGTTCATAGTGTAAACTCTATCAGCTGTACAGTCTTCATAGTGTAAACTATATTGGCTGTACTGTCTTCAGTGTAAACTATATTGGCTGTATAGTCTTCACAGTGTAAACTCTATTGGTTGTACAGTCTTCATAGTGTAAACTCTACTGGCTGTACAGTCTTCACAGTGTAAACTCTATTGGTTGTACAGTGTTCACAGTGTTAACTCTATTGGTTGTACAGTGTTCACAGTGTAAACTCTATTGGTTGTACAGTGTTCACAGTGTAAACTCTATCGGCTGTACTGTCTTCACAGTGTAAACTATTGACTGTACAGTCTTCACAGTGTAAATTCTATTGGTTGTACAGTCTTCACAGTGTAAACTATTGACTGTACAGTCTTCATGGTCTAAACTCTATCGGCTGTACTGTCTTCATAGTGTAAACTATATTGGTTGTACTGTATTCACAGTGTAAACTATTGACTGTACAGTCTTCACAGTGTAAATTATATTGGCTGTACAGTCTTCACAGTGTAAACTATTGACTGTACAGTCTTCATGGTCTAAACTCTATCGGCTGTACTGTCTTCATAGTGTAAACTATATTGGTTGTACAGTCTTCACAGTGTAAACTATTGGCTGTACAGTCTTCACAGTGTAAACTATATTGGCTGTACAGTCTTCACAGTGTAAACTATTGACTGTACAGTCTTCATGGTCTAAACTCTATCGGCTGTACTGTCTTCATAGTGTAAACTATATTGGTTGTACTGTCTTCACAGTGTAAACTCTATTGACTGTACAGTCTTCATGGTCTAAACTCTATCGGCTGTACTGTCTTCATAGTGTAAACTATTGACTGTACAGTCTTCACAGTGTAAACTATTGGCTGTACAGTCTTCACAGTGTAAACTATATTGGTTGTACAGTCTTCACAGTGTAAACTATATTGGTTGTACAGTCTTCACAGTGTAAACTATATTGGCTGTACAGTCTTCACAGTGTAAACTATATTGGCTGTACAGTCTTCACAGTGTAAACTATTGGTTGTACAGTCTTCATAGTGTAAACTATATTGGTTGTACAGTCTTCACAGTGTAAACTATATTGGCTGTACAGTCTTCACAGTGTAAACTCTATTGGTTGTACAGTGTTCACAGTGTAAACTCTATTGGTTGTACAGTGTTCACAGTGTAAACTCTATTGGTTGTACAGTCTTCACAGTGTAAACTATATTGGCTGTACAGTCTTCACAGTGTAAACTCTATTGGTTGTACAGTGTTCACAGTGTAAACTCTATTGGTTGTACAGTGTTCACAGTGTTAACTCTATTGGTTGTACAGTGTTCACAGTGTAAACTCTATTGGTTGTACGGTGTTCACAGTGTTAACTCTATTGGTTGTACTGTCTTCATAGTGTAAACTCTATCGGCTGTACTGTCTTCACAGTGTAAACTATTGACTGTACAGTCTTCATGGTCTAAATCGGCTGTACTGTCTTCATAGTGTAAACTATATTGGCTGTACAGTCTTCACAGTGTAAACTCTATTGGTTGTACAGTCTTCACAGTGTAAACTATATTGGCTGTACAGTCTTCACAGTGTAAACTATATTGACTGTACTGTCTTCATAGTGTTAATTATATTGGCTGTACTGTCTTCATAGTGTAAACTATTGACTGTACAGTCTTCATAGTGTAAACTATATTGGTTGTACAGTCTTCACAGTGTAAACTCTATTGGTTGTACTGTCTTCATAGTGTAAACTCTATTGGTTGTACAGTCTTCACAGTGTAAACTCTATTGGTTGTACAGTGTTCACAGTGTAAACTATATTGGCTGTACAGTCTTCATAGTGTAAACTCTATTGGTTGTACAGTCTTCACAGTGTAAACTCTATTGGTTGTACAGTCTTCACAGTGTAAACTCTATTGACTGTACAGTCTTCATAGTGTAAACTATATTGACTGTACTGTATTCACAGTGTAAACTATTGGCTGTACAGTCTTCACAGTGTAAACTCCATTGGCTGT